CCATCATGCACTTTCTAATATTTTTGTTATTCTCATCATTCGAATTCTCCTTTTTCTCCTGATGAAAACACTGTTTCATGTTTGATCACCGAAAATAAGCAGTGTCGAGCCCAGTCAGTATTTAGATGGGAAACAGCCGGGAAATACAGTTTGGTTTGGTTTGGTTTATTTTGTTTTACCACATATCAACCTCAATGGGTTATTTAATGCCGACAACATTTTTAGGATAGATTCGTATGAATAGAGTATAAATTCTTTGGTTTAGCTTGGTTTGGTTTATTTTGTTTTACAGCATATCAACCTCAATGGGTCATTTAATGCTGACAAAAATTTTTATTGCTGGTAATATTTTGTTTTGTCGAAAATCTGTTTCTGGTAATATATTTCCTTCAAAATTGTATTGCTGGTAATAATTTTTTTCAAAAAAGTATTGCTGGTAATAGTTAACTATTTTCCCATAGCTGGAACCCTAACAGGTGCTACCACCCTGGATCATGGTGAACCTGGGAACACTAGCAATTAAGAGGTGGTTCCACACTCCTTAAAACCTCCTGATCAGAGGCCTTGCTGCTGGACGTAGTTTAACGTTTTACCCAGGATGCTGATGTAGTTTAACGTCTTACCCAGGATGCAGGGAATATAGTGTACAGTAAGCAACCTCCTACAAACTAAAATATGTTTCAGCTTTAAATAACCTACAAAGAGTTGATAACCCATAAAAAATCAAATCAATCAATCTTTTTATTTCTTTTAACATTCATTCATCAAATCCATGTTGTTGTTCTTTTTCTTTCATTTCCTTATTTTTTATTCATTCTATTTTTTCTTTCTAGTTCAACTCTTTTATCGCCTTTTATTATTCTGTTCAGTATAATTTTTTCATTCATTAAATCCATATCATTCTTCTCTTTTTTCCTTCATCTTTTTTGTTATTCATTCCATTTTTTTCTTTTTTGTTCAACTCTTTCATATCTTTTGATTATTCTAATCAGTATAATTCTTCTTTTCTTTTCTTTAATTAATTATATCCATATTTTTCTAATCTTTTTCATTCATTTTCTTCTTTCTTATTCATTCTATTTTTTCTTTGTTGTTCAAATCTTTGATAGCTTTATATTATTCTGTTCAGAATAATACTTCTTTTCTTCTTCTTCCTATAATTTTTCATTCATCAAATCCATTTTATTCTTTTCCTTTTTCTTCTTCTTTTTCTCTTTTCCTTCTCCCTATTACACTTTTTCATTAAAGCATTGGTTTTTGCATTTGGTGGCTTAATAATTATGAGTCCAATCCCTATACCAGGTAGTACAGACTGAGACAGAGGTTAAACAGAATGAGCAATAACTGCAGTATAAAAAAAGATATCCCTAGATATTGACATTGGATTAATTAAAGGGTTAAGTTCAAAATTCTTTAGCTTACACAATTTAACAGATACCTGATGAAGGTCGGAGAGCACGATGATGACAACACTGTGATAATATCATCAAAGATTCAGACATTTGTCTGAATATAAATAATGTAAAATACTAAGTCTAGAAATTCAGATAGAAATTATATTTTCTTTCTATTTTTCTATTTTTATACAATGGACAACCACAAAGAAAAAGAGGAGGAGATTTTATCTTGATCTCAAGTGTTGCTGTCTGACAGACCAACAGATGGTTCCTTTTGAAGTTTGGTCTTCTAAGCAGCATCTATTTTAAGAAAAGGGTAATGAGAAGTAAAGGAGTGGGATTTTTAGGGATTTTTAGGGATCAAGTGGCAACAAAACCGGAAATAGGGTATATCCAGGTGCTGGTTTATATTAAGAGTCATGCTTGGGATTGACAAAAGTTAGGAGCCACCCTTGGCTGGAGATAGACGTATTCATTGAATGATTCTGAGGTCTCCATTTGTATTGCTAAGCCACCATATCAGGATGAATCGATGGGCAAGGAGTTAGTAGGGGAAGAGCTAACACAGCAGAAGTTTGCCCAAATTTGCCCTACCTACCCAACCTGTATGAGCAGGCGGGGACCTGAATAAGACATTCTATATATAATATATATTCTTTTTTTTTTTAAGCGCTTCACCCCAAGTAAGGCAGAAAGCCACTAGCACACAAGGGGTTACAGAGAGTTGGGGCGAGAGCAAACAGGAGTGATAGAGGAAAGGATGAAGAGATAGATCAAGGCATCACTGGGGTAGACTGTTCTAGTTCCATGTGCCATGTTTAAGAACACATGGCACAGTGGATAAAGGCATTAGTTAGATCCAATGACAGGAGCCAAAGAGTGTGAGTTCAATACCTGGTTAAGGCAGTGGAGAACTTCCAGAGGGGAATTAACAGGAGATAACTGATAACTGACATCCATTAAACATGGCATGTGGAACTAGAACACTCTGCCCCAGTGAGCGAAATAAAGGTTTAAGTTTGACATTCCAACCACCTGAAGAAGGCTGGAGCGTACACTCAGCCGAAACATTGTAATAGTTATGGTGACAAAGATGAAGACAATAGTCTGAATAATGTAAATAATGGTTCTCTGTAACTTGGTTAGAACATACCAGGCCTAACAGTAGCGCCTTCTGCCCAGAGGGACACAGATTCGAATCCTGTCAGAGAGCATAAATTTTTTTTTAATAAGATTTCTCAAATATTCAGGCCAGTAGATGAAAATAAATAAATATACTGTTTAATAAATAATTGGAGTGTCTACACAAATATGAGTATCCAATAAAAATAATGTTGAATTAATAAAAATGCATTACTCTCTTTAGAAAATTCACATTTGCTTTTTCTTCTTTCCAGCTTCCTGTTACATTCTTCCATATCTTGCATTCATCAATTCCATGAAATTCATCTTCTTTTCCTTTGTTTTCTTCATTCTTTTTTCTTTTCTCTTTCTCTTATTCATATTTCTCATAGAATGACCTGACCTATTCCTTTCCTTAGTTTCTGAAAGGCATTTTCCACATTTCCTCTGTTGCTATACAAACAAGATAGTTAATTTTCTGCACTTGCTTAATTCTGACATCTCCAATATGTAGCTCACAATTTGTTGTCTTGTCTCTTGCTGACAGCCATGCATTTTGTCTTCTTACAGTTAATAGTTCTTTCTTGCTTTTTGTTACTATTTTGTCTATGAGTTTCATTTCTAAGAGACAAAGAATAGAGTGTTAGACTGCTATGTCATATCTAATCTCCTATATTTGGCAGACAATTTAATAAAAAATAAAGATTTGAAGCAACACAGATATGGTTCTGTCAAAGAGTATTAGAATACCATGGACAGAGCTTGTGAGAAACAAAAGAAGCTTGTTTTGAATTTGATAAGGAACATACAGATTGATATGGATAAATTGTCATAAATGAAAATAACACTGGCATCTCATTTTAACAGATATATTTACAAAAATTACACAAAAATATCTTGAATTACTAAAGATTAAATTTATCTAATAAAATTGCCATTGGCTTCAACCACGGCCTCTAGAGGATTTTGAAATCTCCTGCAACTCTTCTGGATGGTCTCTTTGTTTAAATCAGTGAATGCTGCCATAATCCTTGCCTTCAATTCATCTTTGGTATTACAAGGAGTTTTGTTGGTCTCTTGCTCAATTGCACCCCACACAGAATAAACAATGAAGTTTCAGTCTGGGGAGTTAAGTGGCTAGTTGTAAGGGATGATGGGGTCTCAGAAATTGTCTGACAGACATGATTGAGTTCTCCTACATGTGTGGTGTGGTGCAGAGTCCTGTTACCAGATGAGGGTCTTTCAGCAGCTACCTTTTTGATCCAGGGCAGCACTACCTCCTCAAGGTACTTGATGTAGATCTGCATGTTGGGTCTGAGGCCCTCACCAACAAAATTTGGGAGTTCTTTTCTTATCAGAGTGAGTTTTCAAAGCTGCTGTAATCATACAATCTATCCTGTGAGTATCAAATTTTCCAAGGTGTCTTTCCTCATTATGTACCCTAGAAATTTCAACTCTCTCTCATTAAGTATAAGTGTCCATTTTGTTTTCATTATCTCTAAAACTTCATCATTGCTGACATGTTCAGTCTATGGTATTCTCAGTATCCTTCTGTAGAACCACCTTCAAATCTTTTCTTTATCTGCAAGAAGATTGTTCAGCATTCACTGCCATATAAGAGGACTGATATTGCATAACACTTCAGTACTCTTTCTTTGTTTCTAAGTATTTTTTCCCTGTTTCTTAATACTTTACTTAACTTTTGATAGGCATATTTCACTATCTCAATCCACCTGTTCCATTCTCTGTTAAAACACTTCCCAGATATTTAAATTGTTCTACTTGTTTGATTTTAGTATTTCCAATTCATTATTTGCATCTTTGCTAACAACCATATATTCTGTCTTCTTGCAATTGATGTTTAGTTCTTTCTTTTTGCTTCATGCCATCAAATGCAACGTCTCGGTATGTTCACATATGACGATCTTCATATGTCTCTATTTTGGACCCTCACAGTTAGGACCCACCACCATGCTGTGTTCACATTTGCAAACCATCCCGATTCCCTTCATGTTTTTGATAAAAAGCAAGTTCCACTCAGAGGCTTCTTGCACAGAACTGTTGATTTGTGGTATAAACTCCCGAGAAAATGTTTCCCTGATGACTACAATCGTGATCTCCTTAAGTCCAGAGACAACCAATATTTCTGCTACTCATCCTCATAATTCTCTTACTTCCCCCTCCTTTACAATTTCCCTTAGAAAATTCTCTATCTAGAGTGGCCCTTGTGCCTTGTATTGGGTGAACTATCAGTAAATCAGTTATGTGCCATGTGTGATATACAGTTAGGCGATCATGTATCTTTTGCTACATGACTGACGAGGCAGATATTCTTACTGCAGTAGGCTGCCATTTCTTTCTGCAGTAGACCAATTGCAATCCAAGGCTACAGAATCCGGTTTGTCCTGCTATTTACCCATAGTTGGTGGGGAGAAGAGGATTCATACCTTTCTCAAAGGTATTAGCACGTAAGTGAATTTAATGGATTTGACTAGAATTCGAACTCGACTCTCTGATTCATCAATACGAGCTGCTATCCCTTTGTTTCCTTCATTTCTCTTTCTCTGCATTTTCCTTCATTTTTCTATTCATTTATTTTCTTCCATTTCTTCATCCCTTTGTTTCCTTTATTCCTCTTTCTCTACATTTTCTTTCCTTTTTCTATCCCTTTATTGTCTTTCATTTCTTCATCACTTTCTTTCCTTCATTTCTCTTTCTCGACATTTTCCTTCATTTTTCTATCCATTTATTTTCTTTCACTTCTTCATCACTTTCTTTCCTTCATACCTTTTTCTCTACATTTTCTTTCATTTTTCTATCCCTTTATTTTCTTTCATTTCTTCATTCCTTTGTTTCCTCCATTTCTCTTTCTCTACATTTTCCTTCATTTTTCTATCCCTTTATTTTCATTCATTTCTTCACCCCGTTCTTTCCTTTTTCTCTACATTTTCTTTCATTTTTCTATCTCTTTATTTTCTTTCATTTCTTCATTCCTTTGTTTCCTTCATTTCTCTTTCTTTACATTTTCCTTCATTTTTCTATCTATTTATTTTCTTTCATTTCTTCATCGCTTTCTTTGCTTCATTCCTTTTTCTATACATTTTCCTTCATTTTTCTATTCCTTTATTTTCTTTCATTTCTTCATCCCTTTATTTCCTTTATTCCTCTTTCTCTACATTTTCCATTATTTTTCTATCCATTTATTTTCTTTCATTTCTTCATCCTTTTATTTCCTTTATTCCTCTTTCTCTACATTTTCCTTCATTTTTCTATCCCTTTATTTTCTTTCATTTCTTCTTCTCTTTCTCTACATTTTCTTTCATTTTTTATCCCTTTATTTTGTTTCTTTTCTTCATTCCTTTCTTTCCTTCATTTCTCTTTCTCTACATTTTCCATCATTTTTCTATTCCTTTATTTTCTTTCATTTCTTCTTCCCTTTCTTTCCTTTATTCCTCTTTCTCTACATTTTCCATCATTTTTCTTCTTCTCTTTGTTTCCTTCATTTCTCTTTCTCTACATTTTCCTTGA